TATTAGATGAGATTTGTTATATCCTGAGAAACGATTCATGAACGTCTTTAACACATTAGAAAGAAGCAAATTCGTTTTAAGGAAATATCGTGAACTCGGTGGGCTTGAATTTATACTGTGATCCTCTCGATCAAACTTGTTACGCTGTCTAATTATTTGAAGGTAATTCTGTCGTAACATTCGAATGAGACTTTTATATTCCAGAATAACAATATATATATAATGGGATACATTATACCCCACCTCACCTCCTACGAATACCCAGCCCACCCCTAAAAAATTTTCAAAAATTGAAAATATCTTTTCGAGATTCTCCAGACCTCGTGAAACCTTCCCCACCGAGTCCACCCCTAGAAAATTTTTAGAATTTGATATTTTTCGCTCAATATTACACTCAACCCCATGGAACCACACCTATCAACTCCACTCCACTTGTAGAAGATTTCTAGAAATTTAAAACATTTTCTAGAGATTGCACCCCATCCACTAACTTTGTTTTCTGTGACCAAATTTATTATTTATGACCACACATGTGCCATATATGACTAGTGATGACCAAATTTGTCTTCAATGTAACCGTCCAATTTTTGATGTATTTAACCAAATTACCAACATGTGTTATTTGTTACTAATTATGACCAAATTTATTATCAGTGTGACCGTCTATGATTAGATCAATCTTAAATGTGATGATACGCGACTAAGTCACAATCGAGCACAAATAATACAAAATTGATAGCAATCAGTCAAAGTAAACACATACTTAGTCACACATGGTCACCATAAACAAATGTGCACACACCACAAACTAGCAAATTTTAGATTTTATATTATGTTTGGTGGTATTTTTATAGTATGTGTGACATTGAAATTAAGCAATTATTTTGAGAGAGTTAAGCAATTTTACTAGAAAATGTTGCCCACCTAATTGAAAGATGCAGTGTTGGTAGGATATGATTGGATATAAAAATTTACTATTTTTTAAACAGTCAAATAATAGAATGTCATGTGATATTCTGTCAAGTAAGATATCAAAATTTCCTAGCAGTGACAAGATTGTTTGAGAAAATAGAGTTTTGAATAGTAATTTTTTAAAGAATGTGTTGTTAAAAAATAGAGGAAAATTTTAAATTAAGTGCAAAATATTTTATTGTGTAAATGTATGGTTGAAAATAAAAATGAGAATTAATTTTTTTGTTTTTTTGAAATAATGATTGTAAAATTGTTGACTATTTCTCTCTCTCTCTCTCTCTCTCTCTCTCCCTCTCCCGAACACCCAGCCTTCTCCTAGAAAATTTTCGAAAATTGATAATATCTTTCCAAGATTACACGAGACCCCATGAAACCATCCCCACCGAATCCACCCTTAGAAA